TTAGTTTAGTGCATGGTGATAGGTATGGTTCTAGTTTTCATCTTTGGCAGGTTGAAATCAAGTTTTTCCAACATCATTTATTAAAGAGGCTATCTTTCCTCCAATGAGGGAGGTTGGCTCCTTTGTCAAAGATGAGGTGGCTGAGTATGTCTGAAGTTGTTTTTGCATCTTCTAATCTATTCTCCCTCATCCTTGGGTCTGTTCCTTTACCATCCTGTTTTTCTCACAGTAGCTTTGTAGTATAGTTTCAAGTCAGGGATTGTGATACTCCCAGCCATGTCTCTGTTGCCTAGAATTGCTTTTGCTATTCTAGGTCTCTTCTTGTTCCAAATGAATTTTTGGATTGTTTTCTCTAGTTCTGTGAAGTATATTGTTGGAATTTCAATGGGTATTGCATGAAATCTATATAGTAATTTTGGAAGTATGGCCATTTTCACTATATTGGTTCTTCTTACCCAGGAGCAAGGGATGTCTTTCCATTTTCTCTTATCCTCCTCGATCTCCTTTTTCAGAGTGCTGTAGTTTTCAGTCTTTTGCTTCCTTTGTGAGGTTGATTCCTAGATATTTCATTTTTTGGGATGCTATTGTAAAAAGAATTGTTTCCCGAATTTCTTTCTCAGTGAGTCTGCTATTTGTGTATAATGTGCCAATAAAAATTTAAAAGTAGCAAGAAAATAGAATAGTTAACAGATCATTTTTGATGTGACTTATTGAACTAAAGGTCACTGGGTGGTGGAAAGAATGGTCAAAGTGAATTTTGTGAGAGCAAAGAGAATTCTTCAATCAAAAGGCAATTCTCATACAATTTTTAATAGACTAATTAAAAGAAACAAGGGTCACAAAATGTTCATTACTTATTAAATTGTGGTATGAAATTCTTAATTTGAATTTCAAGAGTCATAGGAGGCATGACAAAGGTGAACTTAATTTGCTCAGGTTGATAAACTGCATTTCAAAAATAAAGATTCTATACCATCCAAGTGAATCCCTTCACATAAGTTTAAATTTATTAGTAAGCCAGGCATTCACACACTAATTACAAAAGTTCTTAGGTTATGAATGTAAAAATAAGGAAAAATTAGAAAATTCATACATCTTGTCAGAGACCTTTTAATTCCTTTGTGTCCCTGGTGTCTGCATCAGAGGAAAAGGTCACAACACTTCAGAATCGAGGGTGTTTATTAGCGCTATCTATTTCTTTGTTTCGTCTGCTAGAACTTGCCAATTTATCTTGCAAGGTAGTTCTCTTCTAAATTGGCTCATAATTTTGTCCTCCAAAATACTCTTTTTTTTTTAACTCTGCTCCATGCATTGTTTTAGCTCTCTTTTTTAATTGTTATGTTGATTGAGTATTGATTGTGAAATAAAATCTTTTTGAAGGTAAGAAGAACAAGTCTGTTGCACTTTTGAATTTACTAAAGTGGTGATTACTATATGCTAAACATTTAACTTTATTAATTATGGATTTTCATGACCATGGTGCCAAAAGTGAAGCATCTTTTACAATAATAAACATTTTTATTTGTTTTTTTAAATATTATTTTTCTCTCCTAAGTTATGTCATTTTGGAATATTTCTGTAAAAAGCTGTGCATGATACTCATACCATTGTCAGTTTATACTCCTTTTAGAAATGGAAATGGTTAAATTGAACACCTGCACACCCACTAAATGTCCTTTCCTGTCTGATATATTTCTGTTTCGTGTCACTTTTTCTTTAATAGGTATCATGATTAGTGATGGTTCCTTGACGACACAAACCTCGATAGCAAGCACATCAGCCTTCTACAGGAAGGAAGCAGACTGGAAAATTTACCTAATACAAGCACAGTCACTGCTAAGGAAAAAGGAAGATAACTCAGCGTGGGAAACAGAAAACCAAGGGGAAGAACTAAAAAGCTCAGAGAATCATTTCCTGGGAGCTGGGTTGTGTGCTGCTGACATAGCTAACAACACTTTTCCAGCAGGAGTTCAGAACTGCAAGGAACCAGTGGTTGCTCTGTTTCCCTTTTGGGTATGGCTCTGTCTGCAGTGGTTAGTCTCTCTCCAGACTTCCACTTGATGGCGTGTGTGTGTGTGTGTGTGTGTGTGTGTGTGTGTGTGTGCAAGCTCACAGGACTGCCTAGTCCCAAGGATTTAGAAGAAACAGACCCCTGAGTATCGTCTCTGTGCCAGGACCTCACTTAGTTGCCACGAACCTGGATATGAAGTCTCCATCTCCAATTGACCAGGAGGAAACAAGCCATCAACTTTCTGAGCTTCAGCTTCTTCATGTGTAAAATAAGGGTAATTAAACCAGATCACTTCTAAGATTTTTTTCCCTGTGTTTTTATGATTATTCCATCTGTAATTTTCCATTACTTATGCCACTTTATTATCCTGGTTGAATCAAGGGCTGATTTTATTGGCTACCATACACTGGATTGGGTCTTTTTAGGTAGTAGATTCCCAGAGAACTACAGTCATGCCTGGTGTGTATTCTCTGAAATCTTCACAGTGCTTATTTTATTTTATTTTTTTGGTACTGGGGATTGAACTTGGGTCCTTGCACTTGCACAGCGAGTGGCGAAATCACTGAGCTAAATCCCCAGCCCTACAGTGCTTATTTTAGAGTCAAGTATTCATTAGATGCTTCGCAAATAGGAAATGATGAACATGACCATGTTCATGTGTGTGTCCTAGGGTGATTGCACTATTGCTGGTGACATTTCTTTTGCTTATTAAAACCACTGACAACCAGAGTGTGTGCTTTGCTAATGTGACATGACAGACAAAGGAGCCTACAGCAGTGACCTATTTTGGGGCTCCTCAAGTGACTAGAAATTCACTTCTAACTCTTGATGGAATTCAGGAATAATTTACCCCATGAGAACTGTCCGTCCTTTGAGAGATGGGCTTCCTGAGGTCACAGATACAAAAGGGATTTTCTGTGTGACTTTTTGGTAGATACCTTTCAACATTATTTCTTTTGTTTCAAAAGACACTTTAATGAGCAATAAAAAGACCAATGCGAAGCCAAGTGAGGTGCTTGAACGAGAGACCTGAAAGCTGAATTTCATAACTGAAGAAGCCTTGGTGAACTGTTTGGGGTAAGTAGAACTGGGAGGCATTTTTGAGAACTGTGTTTTTCAGTATTCATAGTCACTTCATCTTCAATTTGCTGCTTCTGTGTGGATTAAAGTGAGTGATAATCAACTACAAATTTCTCCAAGTCCTACTTGAAATTGTCTGCTAATGTTTCCAAAAGCATGTTATTGCCTGTGGGCTGGCCCTGTGACCTGTGCTTCTTTTTCGAAGAAATTTGAGCGGTGAGTTAATAAGCAAAGGAAAACCAACTCTTGAGATTTTTTATGCTTGGAAGTGGAACCATGAGAGAATTCACAACTGAATCCATTTTTCCTCTGTAGATACCACAGATACTGTGATTAAGCACCAGGAAAAGAATGACATGTCTACTATCTGCTTAATCAATGTAATCAGCGAAAGGAAGCAAGTATGATATTTTTATCATACATACTTCCTGTTTTGGTTCCTGTTACTTAAGTGAATTATGTAAGTTCATTTTTAAGATTAACAGACCATTTTTATAGTGTGACTGAACTGCTGTTTAATCCAAAAGTCATTACAGAAAATGCTTGCTGTCTCAGACAGACACAGACTTCCAAATATATAAATATACTACTGAGCCTATTTCAAAAGTCTCAGTAGAATTAAAGTGTAAAAATGTCATCTAGAAATGTACATTTCTCACTAGTAGAAAGGGTTATTTGGTAGCATTACTACTACTTCCCTTACTACTGACAAAGTCTACATCCATGACAAAACTCTAGTCAGGTTCTCCTGACTTAGTGTTCAGATCTCCATTCTCCAATTTTAGTGAGAACCCTCCTAAGTCAGTTTAATTGGAATGCCTTTCCCCTGATACTGAGTCACTCTGAGTGCTGTTCAGGTTTCTCATCCTCCACCATCCCTGAGTGATGTATCTGGTAGGTCACTCTAGCCAGCATTTCTGCTTATCAATCATGTTTTCTACTAATAGTCAACCTGTGTCTTCCTGTAGTCTCCTTGAATGAATTCTTCTTTACTGTCTTTCACAAGTGTCATGAATACATTTTTTCTTAACTCTACCTTCTGCCACTTGACAATTTTTAGAGTTTAAAAAAAGGCATTTTCTGGAACACACCTTGATTCTTTGCTTTTCAGAGCATTTCTTCAGCCAGAGTAATTTAAATGAATTTCAAAGATAATGCTTAAATGAAAGATTGGAATTTTTATGGCCCATTGAATTTGTGATGCTTACAAGGAGGTTAGTAACTTTATAAAGTTGAATCTTCTATATTTCATCTGATGCAGCAGACTTCTACCAGATTGCTGAGCCAAGGGAAACCAGGCTAGTCCTATTGGCAGCAATGCGAAGTCACAGAATTGCTTCTTGTCCTGAAGAAATCACACATGAGTAAGAAAGTCTCTGGTGAAGTCTGTCCTCAAGCTTTGGGTCTGTAAGAAGGTGCCACGTGAAGGAATGGTGCTTTAGTGATGGGAGGACCTCCAGTGGAAGCCTGTGTCAGCCTGATGAAGGAAGTTTCTTTGCAATGATCATCCTGAGGCATTGAGAATTCATTTACACCTCCTCTGTAACATTAAAGAGCTCGAGGGAGCCTCAGGGTCTGCTGCCTGTGTTATCTTTTGCACTTCTAGACCAGTAGGCTGAGAGGTGAGTATGCTAGGCTATCAGCTGAGCAGGGGTCTCACTCAGGTGTCCTTGCCAGGGCATGGATTTCTTTGCTGTTAGATGGGAAAGTTCAAGAAAATAGTCAAGTCATGCGCAGAACTTTCTCCTTTGAAAATTGTTCAAAACAACATGCTGATGGTCCAAAATTAATGTGAACAAGAAGTACTCTTTCTCAACCAATATTGAAATGAATAATAGGTAAATTTTGGTTGAATTTTTTATTAGTATATAAATAATAATACATTTCTGCTGATGCTTCTGACCCTTCGCCCAGGAAAGTCAAGATATCAAGCATTTCAGGGGGACAGAGGGAGATATGGACTTATTTTTTTCCTTAATTTTCTCGAAATCATTTTTGAGCCTTCTTGAGAATGACTGTGTTTAATTTCTTAGATATATTTCTTCAAAGTCTTCCCAAACCTATTGTGAGAGGGTAAGATATGTACCAGGAGATTAGGAGTGCAAGGGTGACTCATACAAGATATGGATGCTGTTTAAAGTGAGAAAAATTATTCTTGTTCTCATATTCTATAAAGTATTCTTTAACTGTGTTTTTCTTGCCACCTCACTAAACTCCTTTCAAACTGTAACAAACCATTGCTTTAGAATCGTATGGACCTGGGTTTAGTCTTCTTGTAATTTTAAGTAAATTGCACTGAGGGATTTACCTAAGCAATAAAAAGTGTTTGCTTCTGTGGAGTGATGTTTAATTGTGTCAACTCCATTAGCGTGGGAGCCACTTAAAGGATTAGGAAAGTACACTTCCTGTTATCTCTGGGTGGGCTAGTCAGGTGGGATGTTGGGTACTATGTCTGGTTCCTGGCCCTTTCTTCTCTGGTGCTGTTCCCTTGGTGCCATGAACTAAGCAGTATTGTTCTATCATGACTTTCTGCCATGAGTCGGCTGACCATGAACTGAGTCCCCTGAAGCCTTGAACCAAATGAAAACCTCCTTTCTGTTGTGAGTGTTGTGTATTGTGCTCCAGCAACAGGACAGCTGACTAATACATCTCCCTTTCTCAACTTTTCCAGTTTTGCCTTTAACATTTTGTATTTACCACAGAGGTATATCTCTTCATTTTCATTATGCAGGCCACTTTCTTAGGCATAGATGCCACAATTACATGCATGAATTATAGAACTATCATTAGAATATATTTTGGGCTCTTTGCAGCTCACTTGGCATCACATTCAGAGAAACACAGCTCATGAAATATCTACTTATGCATCATCTATCATGTATCTATTATCTATCTATCTATCTATCTATCTCCTATTTGCAGGGCTGTATTATCACTTTATTTCAGAGCTTGATTTATTAAGCAATAGCAGTTTTGCTTCCTTGGAGATTTTTGCAAGCATATGGTAATGCTGTGTGTTCTTGCAGGTTTAGTAGGTGGGCTGGAGAAGCTAAGCCTGCTGCAATGTGTGGGACCGTCCTGAACATTGGATACCTGTTCTCCAGGTACCACCAGCACGTTTTGGATAAACACTACCACCGAGCAAACTCTGGAAAGAAAGAACATTATTGATGGATAACCTTTAAAGCTCTCTCCCTATCATTAGTTTCCACCCAAATCCCTTTCAACGATGAGAGTTGATCCCACTGTGCCCGCTGTTTCTGTCTCTCTTCCTAACCACAAAACCTTTCTCTGCTAATAGCAGTGCTTTTGTCTCTTTCCCTCTCTTGCCTCACAAGCTTGTTTGCAAGCTCCTATCATTTATCCTGTCTGGTTTCTTACATTTTTTCTGAATTTTTGCTAGGAGATCTTTAGAGGAAGCTTGGCAAGCCAGAACCTGTTGTTCCCAAAAACCTGGAAGAAGGAAGAAGGAAAAACTTGGGGACTCATCCTTTAATAATACTTATTCCTACTTGGCACGTGAAAGAAGTGCTGCTGCTGTCACTGGCACCCAGAGTGTCCAGGAGTGTAAGAGAGGTTTTGTGGGAGAGGCTGGGGGAGGCCAGGGAGTAGGGCAGCATGCCACCCCATCATCACCTTTATGTGCATCTTTTGCAAGGCAGGCAGGGCACAGTTAATGCTGAGTACCATTTCCTGAAGCTGGCTTTGTAAGTGCCCACTTTGGTGCTGCCATTAGGAATCCATGTGTCTGTCTAGCTTCTGGGTTAGCATGATACACACACATACACACACACAATATACATATATGCCATCTATATTGTAATTATTGTATTTCCATGTCTCAATTGTCATTACTTGTCAAAATAAATGCCCATGGAATATAGGTATGTGAAAGTTATTTATGTTCTCATGCTCTAAAACATTTCATTAAAATATGGACATGGACTTATGAGTCTAAACTTATTCTCTGAATATAAATAAGCTCATAACAGTGCTACAAACAATTAAAGAGATTTTATTGTATGAAAGAAAGTCAGTGGTAGAGGAAAAAAAGTGTCCCCTGGGCTATAACATCATTCTATTGATAACAGGACACTTTGAAATGGTGTATCTCAGTTTGATACCCATATGTGTCTCTGAACCAGATTAGGACTTTGTATTTCCAGAGAGTTACAAAACAAACAAACAAACAAAACCCCCCCAGCATTTGTATGTTAATCTGTTCATTCTCTCCTTGACTCTGGCTCTAGTTTATAATTTACAAGAGGACATCTGTCATGTGACTGAGAATAAATTCAAAAAGTAAGAAACATCGTCCCAATATCAATAAGTTTTTAAAAAGTTATGGCTCATAAACTCAACTTTAATAATAACAGCTTACATTTAGAGAGAAAATTCAAATTCTGTTTCAAGTATAGGAATGTTGGAATATGCTGTTAGAAGTAATGTCATAACTATACCACATTCTTACTTTTATTCCCTATGCTTTCGTATAAGAATAATTCAAATAGGAAGTAAATGGAAATGATATTCATATAGCAGAGAAGAATCCATGTGGGAATGAAGTAGTTCTATTAAATATGGCAAAATGATATAGTGTCATATGTTTTAAAATTACCCTTTCACCAAACAGTATCTCTGAGGTGGGAAAAAGTGAGGTAGGAAAACACTGAATTTTTATTTTATATTGAATGCTCAGGAGGGTCCCTTGGGATATTGCTGTACTCAAATGGCTGATGATCATATGCAGGTTTCTGTTCAAGAAGAATAACAGAAATGTCATATTAGCTCACTACAGATAAGTCAAGAATAGTCCTCAATTTGATACATGACATTTGATGGCATGGGTGTATTTTAAACTGTTCTTTTGGTAGCGAGGAATATGTACACTACTTATTCCCCTTTGCCATTTTTTCTTCACCATGACTGATTTCCTAAAAAATATAGTACTAGTTAAATATTGTGCAATCCCTCCCTATCTACAAAGACTTTGTTTCCATTTTTTCTTTTTCTCGTATTAAGTCCATACCCTTCTTTCCTTTCCGCTACCCCTCCCACTTCCTCTTGCTATTTCACATTGCGTATTATACGTTTTAGTCCTTATTTAAACTTTCAGTTTCTCACACTAGAGAAACTATTTGATATTTACACATGTAGATAGGGAGGGATGGAGGGGTTGAAGGGAGGGCAGGGGAATGAGGAAAATATAAGAACCAAGATGGGTTATGTAAAGGTGCAAATTTCCAATGATGAATGTCATTATATTGTATACCTTAAATGTACCAATAAAATTAATATAAAAACATTGTGTAATCCTACTTCTTTGGAAGAACTTTCTGCCTGAAACTGGGATGAGACAAACATATATTCTATAAGGGTGAGCTGCTCTATAACAGTTTGTCAGCATTACACATGGTAATTCTATCATGTCCCTTATTAATGAGTCCAAGAGTAAGATAGTACTGCAGCCTCTTGATACAGTTGATTGAAAAATTTTAGATTCTTCTAAAAATTGAAGGAAGGATGACTAAAAGTAACAATAATATACTGTAAATTTCAAAAAGCTGTGCAAAAGGACTTTGGAAGTGTTTACCACACAGAAATGATAAATGTTACAGGAGATACGTTTAACCCATTTTAATCATTACATAATGTACACATGTATCAAAGCAATGCATGCTACTCCATTAAGATATACATTTTTATGTCAGGTAAAAAATAAATTTAATTTAAAAAAGGAAAAGAAAAAAATTGAAGGCCCATGGTTCAGACAGATTGAACTGAACTCTTGATCATCCTGAAAGACCAGTGGTTTAATAGTTACATTTGATTTTGAGGCTTGGTTTAAGCTCTGTGACCTTGTGCAAGTCATTGAACTCTGATAGCTTCCACATTTCTGAAGTAGAGGTGATGTATTACTTTGCTGACAGCCTTCAACAATGGTTATTAGCAGCGTTTGTCTTTCAAACCTCAAATTGGATAACTTCACACAACAACCCACTACAGATAAAGTTAGTCCTGCTCATCTGTCCTACCCTGCATGTCCTTATGTTAGTGGCCTTGAACTTTAAATGATGAATATTTATTTACATGTCCATTCTTTGTTAACCTATAAGATTCTTGGAGTAAATGGCCAGGCTGGCTCTTATTCATCTTTTTATTTTTAGCATCCAACATAAAGCCTGGAACAGACAGAATGTTCAGAAAATTCATCCACTATATTAATAAATCACTTTTAAACTATAAAGGATTATATATTCACAGTATTAAAAATTAAATTATCTTATCTTCATGTCACCTTTTGCAATTGCATCCTGTTTTTCTCCTTACCTATCATATTGCCTGCTTATAAGCTGATTTCTTAACATGTATTTTAATGTTGATGTAAAACTGTATTTTTCCATGTCAGATAGAAAATAAAGCGATGTAATTAAGTAAGCAACCCTATTATAACTGATGTCATCATAGCAAGAACTTTAAAAAATTACTTTCTAATAATAAAACTACAGGAAAAGCACTTAATAATTTATGTTGAATACAAAATTAGGTGAGTCTCACTTTTGGTAACTTGAGGAGCATGTTCATATTGTGGCATGCCTTTGGGCCACAGAAAGGAGAAAGCAGGAAGGAAGAAAGAAGAGAAAGAACAAAAGAAAACCAAATGCCCCTTTTCCTGGACCGAGAGAGGGTTATCTTCAGTAGTATAGATAACTGAGACTAAGAACAAACAGTAGAGTAACTTATTCAAGGGGATATATTTGGTGAGAAGCAAACACATTTCTCCCATAGACTGAGAAACTTGACAGCCTTTATCTAACTTACAGGATTTTGTTGTATGCTTTTCTGCTGCCTTGTACCCCCCTTTATTTTATTTAAAGAAGCAAACTGGATTTTGAGTATCAAACTAAAGTAATAATTTCAAGTGTTAGTTTTTTTAGCTCTAGGTTTGTGAACTCAGGATGGAAATCACAGTCAATATATTTTTTAGGAGATTGTATAAGAAGTCTACAGAATATTCTGTCATATGGTTTTTCTAACAGAATTAAGATGCTATTCTTCATATTGACTTCATTGGGGAGGAAAGTTTAAAAGCTGAGAGGTATAGAATCATGGGATTTCTTTTTTTTTCACGTGAACTGATTATAAAGTTTTCTTCTATTCTTTTTGAAAAGTAGCATATTTTATTTTTCTCCTCATTGACCGTTCCCTGAAATTTTTGGAAAAATTTCTTTGGAAAAACACTAACATTTCAAGAGGTAACTTCTGAATGGCTATTTTAATGAACACAAATTATAAATCCCTCATTGCTCCTTTATTGAGGGGCTTTTCAGAAAGAGTGTGTAGTGTGACTCTGTAGGAGGAAACTTTAGATGAAGCATATTCCCAACTTATTATTAATATTATTAGCAGTAACATGGATACCAACATATGCTGAACACCAGCTCTGAAAATGTTGGTATAATTATGTACCTGGGAGTGTAAGTATGTACATCCCAGAACACACACACACACACACACACACACACACACACAGACACAGTCACCTCACCAACACCAAACAAAACTAATCCATTATGAAATAAATAATATAGTATTATACCTTTAAGATATAATGCCTGTACATAATTATGGTAGGAATACTGATAAAACTTATCAGTTACTGAAAATCAGGTTATTATCAACTTGGAAAATGTATAGAGCTGTAATACATAGTGTCTGACTTCTAGGAGCTTAAACCATATGATAAGGTTGTATGTATCCATTCTCAGATACATAAAAAAAGTGTGTAAGTGTCAAACAGTATAGGAATTATAGAAAGCACTGACAATGTTTAGAGAAATGTGAGATTTAAACTAGACTTTGAGGCATAGAAAGAATTGCATGGGCAGAGACAGGGTGGAGCATTCCTAGTGGGGAGACAGCATCTGTTGAATGATAGTTGGCCATAGTGGAAGCTGTTTGAGAAAGAGCAGGAATTAGCTGGGAAGCACGGCACACATAGCAAACAAGAGTTAGTCATTTAGACTTCACCCAGCTGAAGAAGTATTGGAAAATATCCTAGGAAAATTAACCTGGATGGAGTACTACTTGAAACATGTTGAAGATGAGGGGATGTAAAAGGAAGTGCAGAGAGGTGAGAGCACTGAATGCTATGTCCAAGTGGGGCACTGAACATTTCTGGGGTGCTATTATATAAAACACAACCTACACACCTGTGGATAGTGCCTTCTCATATGGAAGGGAGATAAGCAGTGAATGCAAGTAGAAAACGGAGTGAAGACATTTAGGCAGGAAAAGATTTGAGTTAATGTAGCAAGTAGGCACCCTGCTTAGTGAGGTCAAACCATTTTTCATAGATACAGGCATGAAGAGGGCCTGTTTGAAGTTCAAAGCAAAGGCAGAAGAATGATTAAAAATGTACTTGTAAGAATTGGTTTCTGAAGAGATTGGAATAGAGAGGATCTGGTCTTTGATAACATTTGGATTCATTTTCCTTTGAGTCTAGAAGGAAAGAAGCAAAGATGGACACATCATTTCATTATTATTTCCTCAAAGAACCACCAGAAATGAATAGGGTGACTTGCAAATCTATGGAACAAATTTTAATTAAGTCAGGTGATTTGGACACATCAACTTCAACTGGTCTCCCACCAATGAACAATGAGAAAGTGACATTCATGTGATCTTGGGATAAGTTGTACTTGATTCAATGTTGAATTTTACTATTTGGTGTTATAGGGCCAAAGGGGAAAAAATTCTCACATATCCTCCAGCATATACAACACTTTAACAAAATCTTCAGAGTTACAGGCAGATGTGAGATTTATTTTACCTACTTAAATACTCCATAAAGTTGTTGTTCATGTCATATTATCTATTCTTCAGATCAGTTAACTATAATATATTCAGTTACTCAACTTCTACTTTATCTATTAAGGCTAAACTATAAGTCAATAAATATTTATGTAACATTCCACAAGAATCCACATATTGGCTGGAATTTAAAGGTTACATAGACCTACAAGGTCTTATCACTATTCCTAAGAAGCACATGATGCATTTGGAAGGAACACACACACACATACACACATACACTGGCTTTTAATGAAAGCCAGTGTAAATGGCTGGTAAAGCAAACAACAATTTTGAGAATGGTGAAGACCGAAGTGAGCCAGGAGGGCCAAAGAATTACAGATAAATGTTATTTTTGAAGCTCAGTAATGATACTGATTACACAGTTCACCTTAAATGTGTATTCTGGTTTAAACCGAAGGAGCCAAATAATCCCTAGTACATTTGCACTACATATAATATTCATGAGTTGTGTTTAATTCATGTTGTAGTCAGTATTTTCAAGAGAAACAGATTGAGTGCAGGACACAGAAATTTACAAGATTAGCTGACAATATCTGCCTGCAGAGTCAAGAGAGCTGTCCGCACACTAGAGATCTGAAGAATCCAGTGGAAGGCACGCAATGTCCCGCACAAGTCTGTGTAAGGAGGCCAAGGAATCTGTGCTAGAAAACTGAACAGTGTGCACCGGAAAGCCCAAGGGCTGGTGCTGGAGGCTGGAGCCTCAAGGCGAAGGCGAGGACCAAAGCTCTTCCCGAGAGAACAGCAGCCATCCCTGGTGAAGGTGAAGACTAAAGCTCAGTCGAAGAGAACAATCGAAGCTTCTCTGAAGAAAAGCAGCTGGAAGGAAAATCAGCAGCAACCAAGCTCTTCCAAGGGAAATCAGCTGAAAACCTTCCTTCCAGTCTTGCTTTTACACCCTGTGACAACACGCCTCCCTAAGTGGGTCTTCCACACCCGGAATCGTGCTGATTCAACTCAGCTGGCCATTTCCCACCCAACTTGACAATTAGCCAATTAACCAGCACAATTCATAACTAAATTATCATTTTACATGTTATAAGCCTTAATAATAGATAGTTTATGTGGTTTCTCCTAAAAGTAATTAATGCATGATTACGTAGAAATCTTGGAAAATACAAAAACATAGATTAAAATATACCAAAGTATAGGTAAAACATGATCTCCCCAGAAGTAACTACAAGTAGTA